CTCGGATCGGCCCTCGCAGGCCGAGGCCACACTGCCTTGTTTGGTGCGGCGCGGAGTGGAGGCGCGCCCGCTGTCGCAGGCTCGGAGCGAGGTTGTCAGCTCATTCGACATTTTTCGATCGCCCCCGATCCTTGCACCAGCTTGCTCATCAGGCGGCGCAGCCGAATTTCCCACGCGGGTTATGGTGCACCCTCGACGGGGGCACGGGCATCCCGATTCTGTTTTGTGGGCGGCGTGGTTTTCTAAGGGGCGTTCGGGCCCGCCACTTGCGCGGGGCACGGCGCTCCGCGGCCACCCTCTCTGAAGCATTTGAGGAAACTGTGGCATGGGGGCCTGCCGGTGGGATCGGGGCTTCAGATCTCGGAGCCCTGGCCCCTCCATGCCCCATCGCGTCCTTCCTTTTCTCTTGCCCCCTTCATCGGGGTTGCTCCTCTGCATTAGGGAAGGTCCGACGACAATCTGATGAAGGCGGTTGCTTGTGTTTCCTTGCAGGGTCGCTTATCGACCAGGTTTCATCTGGTTCGCTGGCCCACAGAAGGACGAAATGGAGGAAGTGGACGAGGAGGATGAGGGAGGGAGAGGAGGAAGACACGGCGAAGCGGGGGGGACGCGAGGAATTCATGGCCAGCCCTCGTTCTGTTTTTTTGGTTGGGGGGGCCGGCAGGACGAACAAATTCTTGAGGTCACTTTCGCCGATCAACGATTCAAGCAATTCGGAATTTGCCGAACACGCGGCGCAATCCGAACCCGACCCCCGCCCCCCATCGATTCAGGAGAATCGATGGTCGGTGAGGGTAAGGTTCGGATGTCGCCACCTAGATCAAAGAAGAAACATCGCCAGAAGCATAAATGTTTGGCGCTCTGCGCGGATTTCTTGGATCCGCGCCGGGCCCCCGTGGCGGCGCTTCTGGCGCCGCCCATGGCGCGCTCCGCGCGCCAAGGAGGGGGAGTCCAGCGCAGATCCAAGAAATCCACGCGGAGCGCCAACCATGCATGTTTATGGCGTCTTTCTTCTCCGATCTAGGGCGCGCCGCCGAGGCACCCCCCCGCCGCCGAGGCACCCCCCCTAGCGCCCTCCTCCTCCTCCTCCTCCTCCTCCTCCCTCGTCGTCGTCGTCCTCCTGCTCCTCCTCGTCGTCGTCGTCGTCCTCCTCATCCTCGTCGAGGATGTGTGCTCGCCCTGCTGCGGCACGCCGCCCCGCCCCCGGTTCCGCCTCGCTCTCGCCCTCCCCTGGGCGGCCTCTCCCGGAATGCCAGTGTTTCTCTCACAATTTGCCTGGCATCGCTCGGACGTCTGAGTTTTTGCGCGGCCGGAAGCGTCGAGGAGGATTTCGGATCACTTTAACGAAAAAAAGAGCACGCTCGATCTATAACCATACGCTCAGAATGGACGTCTGGGCGGTGGGCAGCTTGTGCCGACTCTTGCTCGTCGTCGTCGTCGGCGCCGTCGCTATCCCTCAACCTCCGTCGCCAAATTTCACGCTCATGAGCCACGCGAAGATCCAGGGCGCACCTTGGGCTCCAGCCCAATCGTGGGGCCGCGTTCCTGTACGTGCGTTGGCGCCTCCCCTCGCCTCCCCTGGCCAGTGCCGCACGTTCCTCGGCGCCCCAGCACGGCCCAGGTGTTCTGATTCGTGCGTGATCGTGTGAGCCGGCCTGGTCTGCGCGCATTCCTCGCAACATCTCGGGTCGGACGAGAGGGGGGTGATAGGTTTATGATGTTCCAACCTGCTGTAGCCATGACCACCAGAAAGAATTTCGAGCACCAGCAAAGTACCGAAACTCCAGGGTTTTCACGTGTCGGGCCCTGGGAGGCACTCGTCCGACGCTGTTTCGACATTCTTCCGACTCTTTTCTGGGTGCTCGACACTATTCCTTGGATGTGGTCCTTAAGTACGATGGAAGCAACATGCGGATAGGGAAAGAAGGGGGGGGGCGGTGTACGACATCTGCTGCATTGGCGCCGAGAGGCGCCGGGAGACGCAGTTTCGTGAGCGGATTCGCTACCCCCCCCCTTCTACTCAGGAGGGGAAAAAACACACGGACACAATTAATCGTCGATTCCTCAAAAAATATGGGAAAATATGGGAAGTGTGGGGGAAGACATAAACCCAAACAATATGGGAAAATACGGGGGATATTTTTATTTGTGTGTATTTATTTGTGTGTCCTGGGGCCCCCCCTTCTACCCCCGCCTCATGTCCGACCCGGAAGTCGTCAGGGGACATGTAGTGTTAAGGCGGGCGTGCCCCTCGACAGGGGGGGATGTTTGAGCATTGTATAAACAAGATAGTATGGGGACGAGTTTGAAATCATTCGCTTCTACTTTGGGGTTTCTTTTGACTAGTCGTTTCTTTCGTCCAAAATCCCCCTGTAGGAGGACATGCCCGACCTAATTGTAGTGTTCCTACGGGTCTCCCCTTCGTAGGGCTGCGACCTTTTTTTGTTGCGTCGTCGAGTCTGTTGTATTTGTGGCACCCTGTCAGGATGCAGAGGGCACTCCGGCATTAGCACCGTTGCTTCTGTTCTCCAGTGAGCTCCCCTGGACCCGCCTGGCTAGTCCACGCGGAGCAAAAGGAGCTGGTCACACCGGCTGATGGCGGCCATGCCGGGTGGCGAAGGGTTCTTTCTACTCTCCTCGGTTCATTTCTGTTTTTGATCGTGTTCCATCCGCACTCATCATCGTCCCCGTGATGGGAGGGAAGGGGTAGGAGGTGGAGGTAGAGAGAGAAACGGAAGTGGAGGAATATAGGAAGGAGAGTTGGCAGGAGAGGGGAAGCAAGTTTTCCACCGCGTGATCGGAGAGCTCGATTATTGCGTTGCACTTGTGAGGATCCAGGGCTGCACGAGCGCATCTTCTTTGGCGTCGGGGTGTTTCTTTGCTTCGGAGGAGTAGAGCGGTGATTTGTGATCCCGGCGGCCCTGACTGTCTACGTGGCTCTACATCGAGGGTAATTGGGGGTGGTTGGTATTGTCGCCAGAGTCGCCGTAATGCTTGCCACGTATTGGTGCGCGCATGTTTCCACGAGGGTTTCTTCTGCGATTACCTTGGAGCGGGGGCAACGAACATGAGTGGGATGCATGATCTGCCAGCTCGCGTAGAAAGGGGTTCAGATGGCGGCGCCATGCTTGCGCCGCGACTGTTGCCATCCAGCCTCAAGGTCGGAGGTAAACCTCAACCTCTCATATACATATCCTCTTGCGAAAGGACTCAGGGGGGTCAGAGGGTCAGAGTCAACGGAGCTGCGCAGATGTCTAGAGCTTGGCAGTCTTGGGCAGCGCCTTGCACATGGGGATATAATGTGTTATGAATGTTTTGCCCGTCTGGTCCAGTGGCCGATCTTCATCCTCCTCTGTGATGGGAGTCGTGCTGCTGTGGAGGCCTCCCTCCCCCCCCCTCCGCCGCCTCCCCTGCCCTCGTCTGGAGCCTCCCGAGGCCCACGAGGCCCGCCGAGGTGCCACCCCAAACACGCTCCACATCGCACAAGCGATTCCCACGGTGAACCCCCCATCCCTCCGATCTCTGTCCTCCCCATCGCTCCCTCCGTCCCCCTGCCTAGTACTTCCTCCCGCCTCCCGCCTGCCCCACCTTCCCACCTTCCGTGGCGAAGGCAAGCAGTCATGCCGACGCCGCAGGCAGGAGGAGGCCCAGGAGGAGGATCAGGAAGAGGATCAGGAAGAGCAGGCTGAGGATGAGGAGGGCGAGTTGGAGCAGCAGCAGCAGCAGCAGAAGGCAATCGGAAAAAAGGGGAGTTGCGTGCATTGGAAGGAGGAGCAGCAGCAGTGGAAGTGGAAGGAGCGGGAGTAGCAGGAGGGGCAGGGGAAGGAGGAGGGAAAACGAGGGGGACGACAACGATGAGAAGGGGCTCGGATCCAGACAAGCGGCCCTGCGCTGGAGAGAGAGAACGGCATTCGGAACGACGGGAGCGGGCGCCGACCCGAAAATGAGGCCCACGCTGCGGCGGGAGCACCATCCCGGCACACCGAAGCAATCGGGTCGTGAGCAAGCCCCGAGGCAGCACGCGCGATTCGATCCTGCACGCTGGAGAGCACGCGGAGAGGTCCTTCACTTGCCTGCCCTGGACAGGAGGAGGAGGAGGAGGAGGAGGAGGAGGAGGAGGAGGAGGAGGAGGAGGAGGAGGAGGATGGAGGAGGATGGAGCACGCGGGGAGGCCCTTCACCTTGCCTGCCCTGGACACAGTCAGGGGATGGCATCCTGTGGACTGTTGCGTAGCTGCCAAGGGTTGAGGATAAGGCAGGGCCGCCTACGAGGAGGAGGAGGAGGAGGAGGAGGAGGAGGAGGAGGGTCAGGGAGTGTTGTGTAGCTGCCAAGGGTTGAGGACAAGGCAGGGCCTCCTGCGATCCGATCCGATTTTTGCTGGCCCGGGCCGCGCGTTTGGTTCGGCTCGGCTCGGCTCGCCGGCAGCGGCCGGGGCCAGTGGGAGCCGGGCGCGGCGAGCTCCGACGTCTCCCAGAGGAGCCTCGGGACCATTACAGTGAGCGGCTTGAATTAGGAACACCTACGTTTCAAAAAGGGCTCGGTCGTTCCCTAGGCTTGTATGCGTTATGTACAGCTCCTTATGCGTTATTTGTTATTTATCGTTCCTTATGCGTCATTCCTTGGGATTAAAAGGGGCTTCGTTCCTTATTTATCGTTCCTTAGGTCAGCCCGATGACTGTATTCCTTGGCGGTGCGATCCGTTGCCGACGCGGCCTGGCCTTGCGATTCGATGCAGCTCGGGCCCGTGCGGTCGACCCGCATGGTAAGGACAGGCAACCTTTTCCAATGGGTGCCCTTGCATCCTTGCCTCCTCGGTCCATCCTTTGCCGCTCTCGCTGGCCACGCCCCGCTCGAAAAGCTTCGAAGTGGGCGTCCACGGCCCGTGCATCCTTATCGCGCATCCTTACTGTACTGGTTGACTGTAAGGAAGTGGAGGTCGGGGGAGGCGGAGGATTGGCAATTGTTCGGCGGCCCACCTTCTGCAGGCAGGGCACGGGTGGCAGGGGCAACGTTTGGGGGGGGGTAGGCTCGGGGGGGATGCATAGACCCCGACCGCCCGATTGGGGCCTGATAGCCCACCCCGCCCAGGCAGGTGCGGATTCGCTGTCGGGAGACTATCACTGATTCGTCGGCGATGTATCGCCGATGCCAGCGCGATGTTGCCCCCCCCTGGGTGAGCCAGTTTCCCCCTGGCATTCCCCCTCACGCGCCGCCAGGACATCACCCCTTCCGCCGGAGACCGAACCTACTACCACAATGGGCGCCGCACGGGCCTCTCTCGTTGGCGAGACTGCTCTCTACGCTCCTCTCCCCCCCCCTCCCTCCCCTCCTCGCGCTCCTCCCCTCCTTTTCCGCCCTCCCTCCTTCCCTGCCCCTCCTCCCGTCTTACCCTCCCCATGTCGTCTCCTTCCTTCCTCCCCTCCCCGTTCTCCTTGCCCCCCTCCCCTCCGCCAGTGACCTGTGGCCGTCCCCCTTCAACGGCATTCTGAACGACGGGAGCAAGCGCCGATCCGAAAATGAGGCCCACGCTGCAGCGGGAGCACCATCCCGACACACCGAAGCAATCGGATCGTAAGCGACCCCCGAGGCAGCACACGCGATCAGATCCTGCACGCTGGAAAGCACGCGGAGAGGTCCTTCACTTGCCTGCCCTGGACAGGAGGAGGAGGAGGAGGAGGAGGAGGAGGAGGAGGAGGAGGAGGATGGACTGTTGTGTAGCTGTCAAGGGTTGAGGACAAGGCAGGGCCGCCTGCGATCCGATCCGATTTTTGCTGGCCCGGGCCGCGCGTTTGGTTCGGCTCGGCTCGGCTCGCCGGCAGCGGCCGTGGCCAGTGGGAGCCGGGCGCGGCGAGCTCCGACGTCTCCCAGAGGAGCCTCGGGACCATTACAGTGAGCGGCTTGAATTAGGAACACCTACGTTTCAAAAAGGGCTCGGTCGTTCCCTAGGCTTGTATGCGTTATGTACAGCTCCTTATGCGTTATTTGTTATTTATCGTTCCTTATGCGTTATTCCTTGGGATAAAAAATGGAGCTTCGTTCCTTATTTATCGTTCCTTAGGTCAGGCCGATGACTGTATTCCTTGGCGGTGCGACCCGTTGCCGACGCGGCCTGGCCTTGCGATTCGATGCAGCTCGGGCCCGTGCGGTCGACCCGCATGGTAAGGATTCAGCCAGAGCGCCAGATCTTGCAAGATCCTGCAGGGCCAGGCTCCCATTGACCCGGGTTTGGGCGCAGGAGCCTGCAGGATCTTGCAGGATCCTCCGCATTGACCCGGGTTTGGGTGCAGGATTTTGCAGGGTTCTGCAAAGCCTGGCTGACCTGGGTCTGGATTGACCCGGGTCAGAAGATCCCCGACGTCTCCCAGAGGAGCCTCGGGACCACTGTTCCTTGGCGGTGCGGTCCTTTGCCGACGCGGCCTGGCCTTGCGATCCGATGCAGCTCGAGCCCGTGCGGTCGACCCGCATGGTAAGGATTCAGTGAGCGAAGAGGGACATAACATAAACTTGTTCGCTGTCGGGGGCGCCTGTCCCTGGGCGGCTGGAAAGTTTTCACCCCTACGGTGCCACCGTAAGGGTATACACTTTCCAGCCGCCCAGGGACAGGCGCCCCCGACAGCGAAAAAGTTTATGTTATACCGTTGTTCGCCCGTTAAAGGATAGGCAACCTTTCCAAGGGTACCCTTGCATCCTTGCCTCCTCGGTCCATCCTTTGCCGCTCTCGCTGGCCACGCCCCGCTCGAAACGCTTCGAAATGGGCGTCCAAGGCCCTTGCATCCTTATGATACTGGTTGACTGTAAGGAAGTGGAGGTCGGGGGAGGCGGAGGATTGACAATTGCTCGGCGGCCCACCTTCTGAAGGCAGGGCACGGGTGGCAGGGGCAACGTTGGGGGGGGGGGTAGGCTCGGGGGGGATGCCCCCGACCGCCCGATTGGGGCCTGATAGCCAACCCCGCCCAGGCAGGTGCGGATTCGCTGTCGGGAGACTATCGCTGATTCGTCGGCGATGCATCGCCGATGCCAGCGCGATGTTGCCCACCCCTCCTGGGTGAGCCAGTGTCCCCCTGACGTTCCCCCTCACGCGCCGCCAGGACATCACCCCTTCCGCCGGAGACCGAACCTACTACCACAATGGGCGCCGCACCGGCCTCTCTCGGTGGCGAGACTGTGTTGTCTACGCTCCTCTCCCCCCCTCTTTCCCCTCCTCGCGCTCCCCCCCTCCTTCTCCGCCCTCCCTCCTTCCCTGCCCCTCCTCCCGTCTTACCCTCCCCATGTCGTCTCCTTCCTTCCTCCCCTCCCCGTTCTCCTTGCCCCCCTCCCCTCCGCCAGTGACCTGTGACCTTCCCCCTCTCACCTCTCCGCCCTTCGTTCCCTCAGGGATGAACTGAAACGCCCAGCTTGAATCGCGATTCCATAGATGGACAGGATATGTGTTTGTCGGGAGGTGTGTATGACTGCCCCCAAACAGAACCCTCCGTGGAACCAGAGGGATTTTCAGAGCCTCCCAGAAGAGGCGAGGGGGTTCCGAAGCGTGCCGGGGACAACAACCAGGAATCAAGCCTGGGGTCCCTCCGGCGCCACCCCTGGCGCATTCCGCGCGTTAGGGCGGGGGGTCCAGCGCCGATCTAAGAAGTCCGCGCGGATTTCCGAGTTCTTATGTTTATGTCATTTTGTCGTTCCCCTAGAAAAGGTAGGTGACCGAATAACCATCAGTGATCGAAAACGTGCCTGAAGGTGTGACCAAAAGGATCGTGCGACCGGAAATGCGACCGAAGTTTCAAGATCGTCTTGGCTTCGAGCTTCGAGCGCAACGTTTCGGTCACACCCGGGCGCGGTCGGAAACTATCGGGGCGCAGGTTTCGGTCACACCCGGGCAGAGATTCGGGCACAGTTTTGGCCACGACGCCTCCCTGATAGAGACGAGGCGACGTGACAGATAATTACCGATGCCGCTACCACTCCTCGTCGCCACGGCTGCATGCGCTTCGCAGTTATGGTCGGCAAGCACCCTTAGGGGCGTCCGGCATTGCTCCCGCAGGATCGTTCGGACCATTGGATGTTGGCCGTTTGCCGTTGGGACAGTGAGGCATTGACGGCTTGCCCACACTGTACAGTGGAGGCCCATGCCAAGAAACACCCTGCTTGCCTCCAGGGTGCCCTGGGCTTCTTGGGCTTCGATGGTTTTGCGCTCGGAAGCGCGACATCCCCACACCAAAACTCCATGGACATCCTGGGGTCTCAGGGTTGGGTTTCCTGTGGAAGGCTTCTCGTGGATTGGCCTCCGCCGTGCCAGGCGCAACCGCCCCACGTCGGTGCTGCATGAGCGAGGGCACCCGCGGGGGCCCGAAGACCATCGCGGCTCGCGCGTCGCTGTCTGGGCCGGAACGGTTGCCCTTCTCCGAGGTGGCGACGCGGGAGCGAGAGGGCGCGAAGATATTTGTTCGACGCGCGTTGCGGGGCGCGATGGGCGAAGTTCGGAAGTTTGGTGACCCAGATGATGCATGCAGACCTCGTCGACAAAATGACGTCCCAACACTACGTCCTCCCCTGTTCCCTACCCGACGGGTAGAGGTCGTTGGTTTTAAGACCAGACCCCCCGACCCGCTTATCCTGCATACCACGGCCGCCAGATCCCCAGGTCCACCGAGTCCCCGAGATCCCCGCCCCTCCACACCCGACTCGCCTACTCTGCATACCGCGGCCGCCAGACCCCCAGGTCCACCGACAATCCCCGAGAATCCCGCCCCCGTCAGCATGACAGAACATACTGCATAACACAGAGCATAACAAAACATCACGACTGACCAGATCATGCTAAGTGAACATAGCATGCCAGAACAGGAGCATACCATAATACCTCATCCTATAACAGGGCATACCATATCATGACAACGCATGATATGGCAGAGAAGGGCCCCGCAACACATCCCAGAATCTCGCACGCTGCAGCGTAACAGCGCATACCATAATAGTCCATAGCATGCCACACCATACCATGACAGACCATGTCATACCATACCGCACCGCCACATACCATAACATACCTGAATATGACAACCCATACCATGACAGAGCGCGACGGAGCCGACAGTACGAAAGCATGACAAACACATCATAACCTCTCATACCATACACAGCATGTCGGGGTACTGCTTATCACTACGGCAGCGAGCGCAATCGAACATCATGTATTGCCACATATCGGGCATACATGTCATTACACGTCATAGCATCATACAGTGACCAGGGCAGAACGCAAATGGTGGTCTTCAACATGTGGTGATCGCCCTAACGTCGCACACGTCTGTCTTCCAACCGCTACTTGGATGGAGGGCCTGCTCTTTTAACACATGGTTCTCGAGCATGCGCCACGCCCCGACGATTATCAGGAAGGGAAACAGGCTCCAGCACCGCGCGTATTCGTGTTTCAAGTTCCCGACAGATGCGAAGATGAAATATGGTTCGTTCTGAACATCTTGTTTTCGAGAGTGGTTCCCTCAGATTATGGCCCTTACATGTCAGAAGCTGCATGGATGGAGGGAAGCTTCTGTTCAAAATGGGCCATCCATCCCCCGAAGCTTCTTTATCACCCGCAGTGTGGTTCTACATATCTATATACATACATACATACATACATACATACATACATACATACATACATACATACATACATGTATCCCGCCCCAGTATTTACAAGCACGGGCAGGGGCAAGAGGAGGGGGTAGGAGGCAGAAGGATGAAGGAAGAGGAGAGTGAGAGGAGGGAGAAGGATGGAGGAGGATGAGGAGGAGGAGGAGGAGGAGGAGGAGAGGAACTGGGAGGAGAGGAGCTGGGAGGAACTGCGAGGAGAAGGAAGAGGAGGAGGAGGAGGAGGAGGGATTATATTCGCAGGAGGAGGGGGGGAGCGAGGACGAGGGAGGAGGAGGAGGTGGAGGAGGAGGAGGAGGAGGAGGAGGCGTTGGCCGAACGGACGGCGCTCGCACGCGGCCCCGCTTCCGACGACATGGCGAAGGGAAGACGAACCTGGCCGCTCAGGGACCGGGAGCGCCAAAGCCTCCGAGGTGCGCGCGGCGAAGACGAGCCGAGCGCCGCACGGCAACAGGGCTGCCATTCTCACGCACACACGCATCGGGCGACGAAATCTACACATATCCATTGCCTCCTGGCCGGGCCCTTCCTGGGCCCAGGAGCTGTGTATACGCCCTCCTGGCAAAGCCAGGAGGGCGTGGCGTATACACCGCTACTGGGTTCAGGGTGGGCCTGGCCAGGGAGCAGTGGATGTGTATAGATTTCGTCGCCCCAACGCACACATCCACATCCACACTTTTTTGGTCTGCGGGTCGAGAGCGAGCCTCTTCCGGTGAAGAGCTGGGCGGGCCGCGCAAAGCACTGATTGGGGAGACACGGCGCGGGCGGGCGGGGCTTCAGGCGGCCGGAGGGCGCGGGGTGCAGGCGGTGCTGAACTGCTAGCACAGGAAAACACACACACACACAAGGCAAACAAAAAGCTGCGCGGCACCGTTGCCGCTGCCGCTGCCGCTTTTACGCGATCCGGCGAACGACACAGGCGCCTCGCCCGCGCGGGAGCGCCCCTTGAAGGCGACATGTGCACGGAGCTCGTGCGAGGGCGACGAGTCGCCCGCTCGCGCGGGAGCCCCAAGATCGGCGAGAATGCGCCGCGCCCAGGCGGGAACGCCACTTTGAGGCGAAGTGCCGGAGCGACATGTTCCTCCGCTCGCGCGTCCACGAATCGACGTATGTACGACAAATGCGTGCGGCGCGCCCTGGCAGGAGCTCCATTGCCCGGAAAGGTGAGCGCGGCGCCGAGGCGAGAGCGGCGTAGCGCTTCTTTCGCGCGGGATGGTTGCGGCGTTCCATCCTTGCCACGCGCCATGTGATCGACGCAAAAAAGGGTGTCGTCTTCACCGACATTGGCGCGTACGCTGCTCTCGGAAGATCGCGCGTAAGCGCCCTCGATTCAGCGTGTCATCTCGCGTAAGGTCGCTGTGTCATCTCGCGCAAGACCCGTTTGCGATCGTCGCCCATGTGACGTTGACGACGAAATTTCGACGTTGAAAGCCAAGCGCTGATGTTGCTTTCTCAAAAGAGATGCAATGTTTGGGTTTGATGGACCCCCCTTGGATTGACTGGCGAGCGGCTGGCCAAGTGGCAGAGTAGGGATTGTTTTAAGTCGTGCACGTCCCTCTACAGGAGGAAATTTTCAAAACTATTCAAAAAGTAGTATGGGGATTGTTCGTTGTGCTTATGTTTGATTCTGTTAGGTGTGCCTTCTGACGTTTTAAACATAGTGCTTCCAAAATCCGCCTGTAGGGGGACATGCCCAACCTAAGGATAGTTGGGCGGAGGGAGAAGGCTTTGGGACGATCGCGAGGAGTTGGACGTCTCCTCTGCGCACCGCGTAGCAGAGGAGGAGGAGGAGGATGAGAAGGAGGAGGAGGAGGAGGAGGAGGAGGAAGAGGAGGAGGAGGAGGAGGAGGAAGCGCGCGGGGAGGTGGGATACGGGAGGCCCTCCCCATCCCTTTCCCCCTTCTTCCTTCCCTTCTCACCAGCCTCGAACTTATCCCTATCCCCTATCCCTAAGATTGACACGCCAAAAGGCGATGACACTCTTAGGGATGCGCCCTCAGAAACTAAGGGAATCCCGAAAATCGGCATCGTGACGAGGCGATGCCCAGCATAGGGATAGTCATATGTTCCAGGCTGGTAACTTCCTGATCTCCTTCCCCTTGCCGATCCTCCTGGTCGTCATCCTCATACTGGGGTGTGCATTAAGAGGTGCTGTCACGAGACGCCAGCTGGAGTGCGCCTCCATGGGGGCCGTCTCCAGGTTTGCGCGCCCCCCCGCCTACAGGGCCCCCTCCCAGTGGGAAGTCGCTCTCATGAGCCACCCAGATCCTACTTGTTGGTCCGTCTCGTAGCTCAGGGAGACTTCGTGCCCGATACAGTCAACCCGCATAGCCAGGATGAGCAACTTCCCAAGATTGCCCCTGCATCCTCCCCCTTCGGCCCATCCTTGGCCGCTTCTGCTGGCCGCGCCCCGCTCGCAAAGTGCCGACATGACCTTCCAAGGCGCCTGCATCCTTCTCGCGCGTCATTACAGTGGAGACCCATGCCAAGAAACACCCTGCTTGCCTCCAGGGTGCCCTGGTTCTCTTGGGCGTCGATGGTTTTGCTATGGAAGGCGTGACGTTCCCGCACCAGAAATCAATGGACGTCCTGGGGTCTCAGGGTTGGGTTTCTAGTGGAAGGGTTCTTGTGGAATGGCCCCTTCTGTAACTATACGGGTCCCCCGTTCCACTGCGCCATTTCGGCGCTACATCGCACCCTTCGGCACCCCCTTCTGCTCTCCGCGACATACCTTCCGGGTGGGATGCGTGTCCCTCTTTCTCAGTCCACTGCACCATTTCGGTGCCTCTGCTGCGCACGCTGGGCCGCTCATGAGGTCGCCCTGCATCCTTACCCGGCTTCCGCACCTCTTGGTGCCCCCCGCCGCTGCCCCCTTGCGGCGTGCCTCCCGAGTGGGACGCACGTCGCTCACACCCTGTCCCCTGCGCCATTTCGGCGGCACGCCCCCTGCCGCTCTCCGCGATATATTATACCTCCCAGGTGGGACGCGTGTCGCCGCTTCGGTGCTTCCCTGTCGCTCCGCTCCGCGCTGGACCATCGGGTCTTGCGTTCTGCACCTGGCTTTGCACCTCGCGGCGCGCCCCGCCGCCGCCCGCCCTGCGACGCACCTCCCGGGTGGGACGCGCGTCGCTCCTTCCCTGTCCCCTGCGCCACGTCGGCGCTTCTCTGCTACCCTGCGCTGTTCTGCCCGCGGGGCCGCCCGGCGTCGCCACCTGGCTTCCGCACTCCCCGGTGCTCCCCGCCCCCGCTCCTCGCGTCGTACCTCCCGGGTGGGAGGCGCGTCGCCCGTCACCGCCCCGTGCGCCCTTTCGGTGCTCCCCCGGCACGCCACGCTCGCCCGCGCGTCTGCCGCCCCGCTTGGCTACCCGCCCGGCTCCCGCGCCCGTCGGTGCTGCTCTCCCGGCGGCGGCTCCGCACCGCCACGTCCTTTTGCGGTGCTGTTCCGCCCCCCGCTCCCGCGGGCTGCCGGGACGCTGTGCCCGCCGCCTCCGGCATATCCCTCTCTGCCCAGTTGCCCTCTGGCTGCCCTGGGCGGCCGCTGGCCCCTCTTCCGAGCGGTCCGGTCGCGTCACCGCTTCCAGGGCCCCCTCGTCTCTTCCACGTCGCTGGTGCCTGCAGCCTGCGGGCGCCTGGGACGCCCGCCCTTCGGCCCCCTGGCCTCGGGCGGTCACGCTGCAGTGTCCCTTTCACTGCTCGCTTTTCGCTGCTCCCGCCCCCGTACGGCTCAGTGCTGTACGTTCCCTCGCGACGCCGCGGTCCGACGCAGCGGTGTCTCCTGTGCCTCCCCAGCCCATGGCTGGCTGCCACTCCACGCCAACCTTGCCCCTGTGGTGCGCCACGATTGCCCACCGCGCTGTGGCCCAGCGCGCCTGGCTGCTGCCGCCCGCCGGCTGCTCATCGTCGAACTCTTCGGCGTCTGAGTGTCCCTCCCTCCTCGTCGGTCTCCGCCCTCCCTCCTTGCACGCCCACCGGCCGATTCGCTAGTTAGTGTCCCTACCTATCGGGCGAAGAGAACTATGCACATGCACCGGTCCTGGCCAGGCCCATCCTTGGCCCCAGGATCGGTGCATATGCCTTCCTGGCCAAGGCCGGAGGGCGTATGCACCGATCTTGGGCTCAGGACGGACCTGGCAATAATCGGTGTATGTGCATGGTTCCTTCTCCTCTATACCTAGCTGTTACGCTGGTGCGGATTTCACCTCCTCGCCGCTTACGAAAAAAACAATGTTCTATGCTTTGCCTGCTCCCCCTCCTTCTTGGGGACGCCCCCCCCCAGCGCCGCGGCGCCGCAGGCTCCCCGCGCTGCCCGCGGCCGCGCAGGCGGGTAGCGCTGCTGCTCGCCGCCGTGGCGCCCGGCGGGCGCGGGCGCTTGATGGACGGCAGGCGGGGCTCTTCGGGGGCAGTGGCCCTTCTGCCTCTGGGGTCGACCTAAGCAGTGTTTGGGCGATTTCCGGGGGCTCCCCCTCCTCCTCCTCCTCCTCCACCTCCTCCTCCTCCTCCTCCTCCTCCTCCTCCTCCTCCTCCTCCTCCTCCTCCTCCTCCTCCTCCTCCTCCTCCTCCTCCTCCTCCTCCTCCTCCTCCTCCTACTCCTACTCCTCCCCCTCCTCCTCCTCCTCCTCCTCCTCCTCCTCCTCCTCCTCCTCCTCCTCCTCTCCTCCTCCTCCTCCTCCTCCTCCTCCTCCTCCTCCGCCTCCTCCTCCCCTCCTCCTCCTCCTCCTCCTCCTCCTCCTCCTCCTCCTCCTCCTCCTCCTCCTCCCTCCCTCCTCCTCCTCTCCTCCTCCTCCTCCTCCTCCTCCTCCTCCTCCTCCTCCCTCCTCCTCCTCCTCCTCCTCCTCCTCCTCCTCTTTCTCATCCTCCTCCCCCTGACACGCTTGTGCACGCCAAAGCACGCGTTAAAAAAATTATCCTCCTCCTCCTCCTCCTCCTCCTCCTCCTCCTCCTCATCATCATCATTATCATCATCATCTGCCTCAGGGGTCGACCTAAGCAGTGTTTGGGCGATGTCTGGGGCCGTTGTCGCTTCGATGCCGTGTCGCATCGAAGGTGGATTGGAGACAGAGCGAGGGACAGCGAAAACATAACGATACCGGAAATCACTGTTCTGGTCAAGCTTCTGCTCTGCCTCGAGGGGGAGGGGTCCGAGCTTCTTGGGGCCCATGTGGTGGAACGTCTGCCTTTGGGGGAAGGGGTCTGGATTTCTAGGAGCCCACGTGGTGGAAAACCTGCCTTGGGGGAAGGGGTTTGGACCTCTAGGGGCCCACGTGGTGGAAAACCTGTCTTGGGGGGAAGGGGTCTGGACCTCTTGGGGCTTAGGAGGTGGAGCACAACTGCCTTTTGGGGGAAGGGGTCTGGACCTCTTGGGGCCCACGTGGAGGCACGCCTGCCTTGGGGGAAGGGGTTTGGACCTCTATGGGGCGCACGCGGAGGAACGCCTGCCCTGGGGGAGGAGATCTGGACCTCTTGGGGCCCACGTGGTGGAACACCTTCTGGACCTCTTGGGGCCCACGTGGTGGAACATCTGCTTCGGAGAACTGGGTACTCCAGATTTCGTAATAAAGGGAGGGGAGTCTCATTTCGGGGGGGGGTCTCCTCCAGGCTATCCTGGAGGGCCTGGGGGGTCTGGGGACGATGTTTTGGAGGGTTCTCCCACAGGGGAGGTCTGAAATGGCTTGTCTTGGAGGGTCCAGACCCCCTCCCTTTCGTTACGACATCTGGAGTACGCGCCTGATGGACGACGGGCGGGGCTCTTCGGGGGGGCGGCCTGACGCGTTTCCTTTTAGATCTCCCGGATGCGGTCCGAGCAGGCGAGGTCGGAGGGCTACGCCGCCTTGCCGATGCATCGGCGATGCGGCCGGGCGGATCCCGATGTTCGTCACGCCGACGTCGGCGATGCACCACGGGCGCCGACGATGCAGCCCGATCCTCCGGCTCCATCTACAGTCGGGGCGCTGCAGAAGGAACCCTTTTCGTTGGGGAGGGGCTCGGTGTTCCTAGCTTGTTTCACAGCTTGCCTCAGGGTTTCCTTATGTTTTCGATGGGCAAGCGAAGTTTAACTTATGGAAAAAAGAGGCCTCGTTCCTTATTTGGGGTTCCTTAGGTCAACACCCCGACTGTACTCAGACCCCATTTGGGATGCTTCTACCTCTCTGCCTCGAGATGGAGGGCGAGGAGGACGAGTACAGACATGCTCTCGCAGTGGAGCGAACCAACTGAAGCACGGCGGACGAACGGGTTTGGCTGTTTTCGCCCTGCGGGGGCCTTGGGGTGGTCTAGATCTCTGGGGGGGGCGCACGTTGTGGAAACGACGACGAAGATCCACAGGGGAAGAAGGATCATGATCAGGACGATGGCGAGAACGAAGGAGGAGGGGGGGAGGAGGAGGAGGAGGAGGAGGAGGAGGAGGAGAGGAGGAGGAGGAGGACGACGAGGACAACGAAGATCAACCACTGGGGACGGATGATCAGTATCAGGAGGGGGAACTGGGGAGGACGAACAGGGAACATGTCCGGAGGGGGAGGAGGAGGAGGAGGAGGAGGAGGAGGAGAGGAGGAGGAGGAGGAGGAGGAGGAGGAGGAGGAGGAGTGGAGGAGGAGGAGGAGGAGGAGGAGGGAGGAGGCGACAGGAGCGGAGGGGGAGGGAGAGGAAGGAGGGAGAGGAAGGGAGAGGAAGAGGACGAGGAGGAGTAGAAGTAGTTGGAGAAGGACAGGATGGAGGAATGAGATGGAGGAAGGAGATGACATAGAAGGATGAGGAGGAAGAGGAGGAGGAGGAGGAGGAGCAGGAGCAGGAGCAGGAGCAGGAGCAGGAGCAGGAGCAGCAGGCGGAGGAGGATGAGAAGGAGGAGGAGGGAGACAGGAGGTGGAGAGTGAGGAGGAGGAGGAGGAGGAGGAGGAGGAGGAGGAGGAGGAACAGGAGCAGGGAAAGGCGGAGGAGTATGAGGAGCGGGAGCAGGGAGTAGGAGCTAACGAATCTGCGCCCATTGATGCCCGACGTTCGATCGACGACGAGAACGACGACGCCATCGATATTTGATCCTCGGTCCTCGATCGGCGGATCGTCGATCCTCGATCTTCGTTCCCCTCGAACCTCGATCCTCGATCGGTGGACTATCGATCCTGGATCGTCGACGACCTCGACCCCCGATCCTTGATTGGCTGATCTTCGATCCTTGGTCTTCGACCTCATCGACCCCCGAGCCTCGATGGGCGTTTCGTTGACCCTCAATCTGCGACCCCTTCGACCCACGATCATCGTCTTAATCGGCGGATCTTCGATCCTCGATTTTGGACTCCATCGACCCCCGATGCGGACCTTCTATCCTCGATCTTCGACCCCCCAAGGATCTTCGATCGGCGGATTTTTTATCCTCGGTCTTCGACCCCCTTGACCCACGATGCTCGATCCTCGATCGGCGGATGTCCGATCCTCGACCTTCGACCCCCTCAACCCCTGACCCTCGATCGGCGGATCTTCGATCCTCGATCTTCGACACACTAAACCCTCGATCTTCGACCTCCTCGATCCTCGATCCTCGATCGGCGGCTCGTCACTGTCCTTATTGTTGCTCCAGTCTACTCGTGTAGCTGAGCAGGTCCTAAGGCAGAGTCCCACTGCAGTCGAGGCTGATTGGTGGGTCGACCCTACCAAAACAAGGGTACCCTCGTGTCCTGTTCCTCGCGATCCATGCCCCATACACTCCTGTGGCAAGATGTGGCCCTCGGAAGAGTCTTGTGTCCTCTCGCGTGCCCTCTCCACTTCACCTCGACCGTATAGCCGAGTAGGCCCTGAGGCAGAGTCCCACTGCTCGCGCGACGGCGACGTCGGCGTCGCCGTTGTCCGTCGTCGTCCGTCGTCGTCGTCGTCGTCGTCGTCGTCGTCGTCTCGTCGTCTCGTCGTCGCCGTCGTCGCCGCCGTCGTCCGTCGTCTCGTCGTCGCCGTCGTCGCCGCCGTCGTCCGTCGTCGTCGTCGTCGCCGTCCTCGCCGTCTCGTCGTCGCCGTCGTCGTCGTCGGCGACGGCGGCGGCGATGGCGCCGTCGTCGTCGTCGGCGACGGCGGCGGCGACGTCGCCGTCGTCCGTCGTCGTCGTCGCCGTCGTCGTCGTCGTCGTCTCGTCGTAGACATCGTTTGCCGTCACCGTCGCCGTCGTCGTCGTCGACGTCGTCGTCGTCGTCGTCGTCCTCGTCGTCGTCGTCGGCGACGGCGGCGGCGATGGCGCCGCCGCGCGGAGGCGGCCCGCCGACGCCGCGCTGTGGGCCGGGCCGCCCGCGCCGCCCGCGGAGCGGGGCGGCGCGTGGGCCCCGGCGCCCGAGGAGCTGGAGGCGGCCCGCCGCCGCCGAGGGCGACGGCGACGGTGGCGACGACGACCGACGACGACGCCGACGACGACCGACGACGACCGACGACGGCGACGACGGCGCCGACGCCGCCGACGACGAGACGACGCCGCCGCCGACGCGGCCGCCGACGACGACGGCGACGACGACCGACGATCGACGAGGGCGACGGCGACGACGGCGACGGCGACGACGACCGGCGACGGCGACGACGATGACGACAACGGCGACGACGCCGCCGACGCCGCCGCCGACGACGGCGACGACGACGGCGACGGCGGCGGCGGCGGCGGCGGCCGCGGCGGCGGCGGCGACAGCGGCGGGGGCGTTGGTGGCGGCAGGAGCAGGGGGGAGGAGCAGCACCGCGCGGAGGAGAGCAGTGGGGGGGAGCGGGCGGCGACAGCCCAAGAGGAGGAGGGGAGGGCGGGGCGCACTCGTCGGGCTCCTCACGCCCACCCGCCCCCCGCAGAGTCGTGGGTACGCCCAGGGACCCGACGAGCCCGTCCTGTGCGACGCGCCAGATGCGGGCGGCGCTCGGCACTTCCAGCTGGCCACTGCCGACGCGCCAAATGCGCGCCGCCGGGTCACCCGCATGTCGGTTGCGGTACTTGTTTTTCATGTCGAGCGGCATATTTTGAACATGTGTACCTCCTGTGCGCAGGCAACTTCACAATCAGAACCAGATCCGTTGTTTTGTCTTCTTCCTACATTGATTGTATCCCGGCTCTGTCTCCGGGGCTAATGTTTGAAGGTGTTGTTTTGTCTTTAGCCTGCTTTCTGGCCTCCTCACCATCAGGGCAGCGCACTTTGCACGAGTCGCCATTTGGCTGCACATCTTTCGTGCAAAATGCACAACATGTTTCGTGTGCGAACTTATTACATACAAACTGCACACCATTCTGCGTGTGCGAGCTGTACGTCATGCTCAGACCCCTTGTGCTGCACCCGCCTCGTAGTTTCCAAGTCAAACGCTCCTCCATCTCTAAGAATGTCATGCACTATGCTCAGCAAGTGTCCGGCTGGGATGCCGGCGTCCTTGAGATAAACCCGCCAGGGATGTTTCTCACGTGTTTTTGTTCATTCCCTTGCACAGCCATGTTTATTTCAATCTGTGTACAAGAAGGCCGGATGTCGATACGTCCTTTCATTCCATTCAAGACCGATCCAAATTTGGGCGAGGACCAGTCACTTCCGAGAGGATGCGAGGGCAGATGTGCTGAGAAAAAAACATATGCGTGCTTTGACCCGCATGCGGCGCTTCATACTTGCAGTGGTCACCGTCTCATCTGAAACAATTTGCGGCGCGCTGCACAAAGGGCATCGACCAGGCAGGAGCATGGATGGGAATCACAAGTACGGTAGACGGCTTGTATGTAAGGGTGTCTCTTGTTTGTTCCTCTTCCCTTTCCTCCCTTGGCCAAGGCAGGGGGCTGTTCTGGCGGGTGTTAGCAAGAGCTTACAGCGCTCCTGCAGCCTCTGTCGCGGGCGGGTCCTCTGCTCGAGCTGTACCGCAGCGACGCGGAGGAGAAGGAGGAAGAGGTGCCGTGTGCGGGAAGGGGGGGGGTGTTTGCCGACCTGTCAGTGGCTTGCGCTGGCCCGCCCGCTCCTGGGTCCTTAGGGCGCTCGCGTGTTGTCCAGTCTTGGTCGCGAGCCCTCCAGGGATCAGATCAAGACTGACTGGCGGCCGCTCGTCGAACATCTCAAGACGGCGCGGCTCACTTGTGCGGGCACCGACCCGCCATCTTGATTTGCTAGTTTTTTTGCGTCGTCGGAGCGCCACCCGCATTTGCGGCGGCGTATGTGGCAGTCCGTTCCCTGAAACGGCATGGAGGCGCCACCCGCCTGACCCATGTCGGCGGTGGCGTAAGTGACATGTGGTGCCCAGTTAGACTGCTCGTCATGGACTCTTCGAGGAGGAGCAGCAGGAGGAGGAGCGGGAGAGGGAGCAGAAGGGAGAGGAGGCGAAGAGGAGGCGCAGGGTGGGAGGAGGGGGAGGAAGGCAGGATGGGAAGAGGACTGAAGGAGGATTAGGAAAAGCAGTGGGAAGGGAACGTCGGCACGAGGAGGAGGAGGAGGAGGAGGAGGAGGACGACGACGACGAAAGCGGAGGAGGAGGAGGAGGAGGAGGCGCTGGGCGAGCAGGGGGAGGCGGGGATCCCCCGCGCAGGCCTACATGGCGGAGGCATCCCTGATGGCCACGTCTCTGGCGCAGGACACCCCCCGACCGCGCCGTCGCCGCTCGCCTCCTCCCGTGGCCGGGGGCGCGGGGAAACTCCCTTGGAGCGCGCCCGGCATCGCCGGGCCGTTTGGCCTCTTGAACAGGCGCGTGAGGTGTTGGTATCATTAGTATTAGGATTATTAGTCTTATCATCATTCTTAGTATTATTGTTATTATTATTAGTATTATTACTATTATTATTATTGTTACGTATTCGTATTATTATTCTTATTATTTTTTGTAGTAGTAGTTGTATTCGTACTAGTATTAGTATTATCATTATCATCATTATTATTACTACTAGTATTGTTATTATTATTATCAGTATTATCATTCGTATTATTATTATTATGATTATTATTATTACTATTATTATTCGTATTATTTATTATTTATTAGCCAGGGCGGAGTACCCGCCACGGTGGGCAAGCCGTGTTGCCTGGGCCCACCCGCTCCGCTAGGGTGCACAGAGTGGTCAGTGGCACCTCCTGGTCTGAGGTGAGCGTTGCCAAAATGGCGCTCGCGGAGGCAACGCCCCCCCACCATCCCCCTGCCGCGCATTCCCCTGTGCTGGCCGGGGTCATGGGGGCCCTCCCTTCCCCCCCTAATTCGGCGCAGGTGGCCTGTCCTGGGCACGGCGCGTCGGCGCCCGCTCGCTCTGTCAGCGCCCGCCGCACAACAAAAGAAACTGAGTACTCTTACGATTGTCATGTTCTGTTGACTGTTATCGATATTGGTTGTTATTGCTGTGAGTAGAGGTATTGTTCGTACTAGTCGTATCAATAGTACTATTTGTTTGAGTATCGTTCGCTCTCTTCTTATGCGTTGCTTCGACTGCTTGATATCATTACGAATTGTGCCGTTCCGCTGCTCAATGTATTTGTTATGCTTCCTCCCATGCTAAGTGGGGCTATGGTTTTCACCACCCTTGCGTCGCACACGCGTCTATTATCTTCTCCTCCTGTTCCTTCTCGTCGTGCAATCACACTACACACCACGCACGCAACGAACACACATCACACATCATACACACGCGCACTCATCATACACATATCACACGTCATACACGCATTACACAATGTAATTCCACAAAGACCGCAGGCGTGGCAATTTCTCGACACCATAGTGGGTGCGCACGGGGTGGTCCCCCTATCCGCGCCGGTCGTCCAGGCCGTAGCAGGCGCGGCAGTTTCTCGACACCACAGTGGGGTGCGAGGGGGTTGGTCCCCCTATCCGCGCAGGTCGTCCAGGCCGTAGCAGGCGTGGCAGATTCTCGACGCCATAGTGGGTGCGCACGGGGTGGTCCTCCTATCCGCGCAGGTCGTGCAGGCCGTAGCAGGCGTGGCAGTTTTTCGACGCCATAGTGGGTGCGCACGGGGTGGTCCTCCTATCCGCGCCGGTCGTCCAGGCCGTAGCAGGCGTCGCATTTTCTCGACACCGTAAGGGGGAGCGCACGGGGTGGTCCCCCTATCCGCGCCGGTCGTCCAGGGCGTTGCAGGCGTGGCACCTTCTTGGGAGCCTCATTTGGCCCTCGAGGGGCCTCCCTGAGCTATCTTGTGGCGGAAGGCTCGACTTGTTGGTTCGTGTTCACCCTTTGGGGCCCTGCCTGGGCCATCTTGAGGAATTCTTCGGCATTCTTGGGCGCCTCGGGGGCCGTGTTGGAGCCCTCTCGGGCCGTTTTGGAGCCCTCTTCGGGGCCTCTTGAGCCGTCTTGGGGCAGTCCTGGTGGCCTCTTGGACCTTTTTGGGACGTGGGAGCCTCGAGCAAGTGAGAATCCGGAAACCAGCGGACCATATTTGATGTTTGTCTCTCGGGAAGGCTTTTGGGGCTCCCTTAGGACGCCTCGCCTGCCTCGTGGGCCGTTTTGACGCAATCTTCGGCCGTCTTAAGGCCAAGTTGGTCCGCGTTGGAGCGATGTTGAGCCATCTTGGGGGCGAACTTGTTGTATTCTGCCAGGGATTGTGGCCTCGGGAAGAGGGGGTGGTGCACGCAGCTGGGTGCGTCGAGTGGGGGGGGGAGCCGACCAGACAGACCTCGGAATTCTTCCACGCCGCAGCGTGCAAACGGCACGGTGGCGGATCTTTCCTGCGTTCGGTTTGTTCCTCCTCGTCCTCCCGCTCCTCGGGCGGAAGAGGGCGAGGAAGAGGGCGAGCGGCAGGGGGGGACGAGGAGCTGGACGCGTTGCACAACAAGCATACCCCCTGGAATTCCCTTCGAGATTCCCCAAGAGGATTCTCCCATCAGACTTTCACCATCTGGCTCACGCATAGGACTCCCGCTTAGGACTCCCCATATTGCCCATAGGATTCTCCATATGGGGTTCCTTCCGTAGGACTCCCCGATACGTTTCCCCTACAGGTTTCCCCAACGAAGCTCCCCCAGAGGATTCCCCCATAAGATTTCCCATTGGACTTCCACAGTCGCACTAAGCAGAGATCCGGAGCCAGACCCTCCCCACCCCCCTTTCGCCGAATGTCAAATCGCCGAAAAAGCAAAGGTGCATTATCGGATGCCCAGGCTGGTGGCGAATAGAAGCGGTTCTCACGTGCAAGATTTTGGCAGTTTTCGTTTGTATGTTTGCGTTGTGATCTGACTGGCGGTTTCGCAAGCAGGCCGTCGTGTGGCGTTGATTCGGGGCGGAGGCTTTGTGGACCTAGCTAACTGTGCACCTGAATTGCCTGTGTCCTTCGCCATGTCTACTCCATCGCTCTCCTGCTCTCGAATGAGTCTTCCGTCCTCCATCATGCATCCACCACCCTCTTCCACCCTTCATCCTCGACCATGCATCCTGCATCCTTAAACGATGTCCGCGGTTCGGTCGGCTGCTGGCTGCTTCGTACTCGTGTGCATTCAATAGGTTCAGTGCGGTCGGCTGTTGTGTTGTTGTTACGTCATTGAGCCTTTCTAGGCTGCTTGCTGCTTGCAGCCTGTCGGTTCCAGTCGGTTTCGGTTTCGCCGTCGGTTCGGCCGTAGTTTGATTGTGCTGTCGCCGCGGACTGACTTGATCCTCTGTCTCCTGCGCTGCAGGTATCCCCATCCCTCGCCAGTTTCTTGCTGAGCTGCTCGTCACCAGTTTATACATCGTTTGCATCATCTCCTGCCCTTTCGCCACCTGAAGGGGCCCGGTGCGATCTCACGCCTGTGTTGCCGTCCCCGTGTTGCCTCCTGCCTCTCGGAGCCTGCTGCCTCAATCGCCCGCAGCAAACACTAAAAAAACAGCCCTCGCCATGAAGGGAAGGTGCCCCGAGTGCCACAGGGGGAGGAGGAGGGATGGAGAAAGGGGGGAGGCGGAGGAGGAGGAGGAGGAGGAGGAGGAGGAGGAGGAGGAGGAGGAGAAGGAGTAGGAGTAGGAGGAGGAGGCGGAGGAGGAGAAGGAGTAGAGGAGGAGGCGGAGGAGGAGGAGGAGGAGAAGGAAGACGAAGACGACGAGGAGGAAGACGACGAGGGAGGGAGGGAGGCAGGCAGGGAGGGAGGGATCGAGCGGGAGGGATCTCCCCGGGCTCCCGGGGGCGCTCCACAGGCCGGGCTCTCGTCACCCGTTCTTCGGCGGCTTCCCCCTCGTCCCGTTGGGGGTCCCGCGGGGGTCGAGAGAACGGCGAGACGCTTGCGGAGCCCTTGGCTCCATGACCGGTCCCCTTGATGGTGGAGTGATTCGGGAGCCTCCTCCTCCTTCTCCTCCTCCTCCTCCTCCTCCTCCTCCTCCTCCTCCTCCTCCCCCCTCCTCCTCCCCTCCCCCTCCCTCCTCCTCCCTCTCCCCCTCCCTCCGCCACCCCCTCCTCCTTGTCCTCCTCCCCCTCTCCCTCCCTCCTCCCCCTCCTCCTTGTCCTCCTTGTCCTCCTCCCCCTCCTCCTCCTCCCCCTCCTCCTCTGAAGACCCCTCTGCCGCGTGGCTCCCAGGGGGGGCCCTGCGGCTCCCCTCGGCCCGCGAGGCGGAGGCCCCGACCCGAGGCGACGGGGTTCGGCCAGAGCGCCGGACCCTGCAGGATCCTGCGGGGCCGGGGTCGCACCGACCCGGGTGTTTGGGTGCAGGATCCCATTGTTTCTGTTCTTAGAACATTTTTGGGTTCTACGAACATGTCGTGGTAGGGCTATAGGAATGCCGGGACGCCCGGTCCCTGCTCAAAGGATCCTGCAGGATTCTGCGCATTGACCCGGGCTTGGGCGCAGGAGCTTCCAGGAGTCTGCAAGGCCTGGCTTGACCCGTGTCTGGGCCGACCCGGGTCAGGAGATCCCCGAGTGATCGTTTTTTGATGCATCGTTTTGCCCATCGGCGCGAGCCCTCGCACACCCTCCCGCCCCCCCGACCTCATGGAGTCGATCTTGGCTGTTTTTGGGCGCCTGCTTCAAGCATGTGGGGTCTCCCCCCTAGGACGCACTGTTGCAAACAGTCGCGTTGAGCAGAGGTCTGGAGCCAGACCCCCCCCCCTCCGCCCAATGTCCAAGTGCCGAATAAGAAAACCTTCGCCAGGACTGGTTTCCTTGATGGTAAACCTCCAGTTTTAGACGCTTCGCGATGTTTGCCTTGTCGCCGAGGCCATCTTAAACGCTCCAACAACCCGCGGAACGCCCTATCCAGGTCGAGGTGGAGGAGGTAGGGGGAGGGGTCAGGATTAACTAACTCCGCCCCGAAGGGGAAGAAGGGGGTTGGAAGAGGAAACCCTCAAGACCATCTTCCGTCCAGGGTCCATTTCGATCCGATTCGCTATCGATGTTGGCCAGCTTGATCTGGTTCGAGTCCAGTGCTCTGACGATCTGATGCGCCCGGATGCATCAATAGCGTTGCTGTGCATCATGGCGCGGCCGACCCTGCTCGGTTTGGATGTTCGTTCCGATGCGGCCCGATCCGAGTCACATTCCGAGTCAATCCGAGTTTTCGATTAAATCTTGATCGATCTTGCCATGGTTTGTGAAGATTTCTGGTTTGGGGTTTTGTCTCGAAGCCGCCGGGAAGGTTCTACATGTGGGGTGGGGGCCCGCCCTCTCATTATGTTCGCCGTCCACTGGGGCAAGCGATCGCGATCGCGAATATCAAACACCCTCAAACTCTCTCTCTCCCTTCATGGTTTCTCCCCACTCCTCCTGACCACCACCCTTCCTAGTCCTGCACCTCCTTACTAAACTGAAACAGATCCCAATCCCTATGACTGGCACCACGTTGTCTCGATGCTGGCTTTCAGGATCTCTTGTCGATCTCAGGGGTCGGGATGCGCTCGAGTGTCCTCCTGATATGTTGTTCGAGATTTGTTGCTGCGAGTGTAACGGTTGGCCGCTGACGTGGTCTCTCATGCTCCCTGGCTCTTTTCGCTCGTCTTCCCTTTGTCTCCGCGTGGATCCTCGAACATGGTTCGAACCCGTGGCCGCTGAGAGGGGTCCCACCTCTGGCGGATGCTGCCCGTGGTCGCCGGTGGAGGAGACGGCAGGCGGGAGGCACGCTGACCCATGCTGCCCCCCTCCCCCTTCCCCCTTCCCCCCTCCCCCTCCTCCTCCTCCTCCTCCTCCTCCTCCTCCTCCTCCTCCTCCTCCTCCTCCTCCTCCTCCATGCTGCCCCCCCCGTGCCCGGGGAAGAGGACGCCGTGGCGCTGTCGCGCCAGGCGCGAGGGCTCCAGGAGGCCTGCCCTCCCCGCGCGCGCAGGGCCGCTCTGCGGGGGGAGGGGGGAGGAGGAGGAGGAGGAGGAGGAGGAGGAGGAGGAGGAGGAGGAGGAGGAGGAGGAGGCCGACCTGGTGCGGTCGAGGTGTCTTGGAGACATGTTGGAAGCTTCGTGGAACTCACAGAGAAGGAAAAAGGTACTCCCATACCTCCCTTTTTAAGCCTCCTCGGAGGCCCTCGTCGCCACCGCTGGATTCGCCTCGAAATTCTGGTCAGAACGCACCCTGGGAGAGGTCCAGGGGGTAGCAGTATCGGTATCTTTTGGTTTCCCCAGGAACCATCGAGGGCTACTTCGTGCGATCTCGAGGGGCCCTCTTAGGCCAGCTTGGCCCTCTCGGGGCCATCTTGGGCCACCCTGGACGCTCCCTTCCCTCGCGGAGCAACCCCTCCGGACCCAGGGATGGGGGTGGTGGGATTCGCTTCTCCGCCATGGCAGAGAGGAGGTTGGAAAAGCGAGCCCCTCGAACCACCTGCGCCCAAGATGCTGCTGGGATCCAGGTCGTAGAACTTGAGCAAGTCTGAAGCGAGAGCCGCATTTTGAAGACGCAGGTTGCGCTGCCCACTCATTGTTGCAATATTTAACGAATGTGCGTTGCGCGAAGGCGAGAGGCACGTTTTGTAAACCACTGCCCTCCATATATTCAGATGTGCGAATTGTTTGAATACGAGCATATGCGGCGCTACTGCGAGAGGTGCATTTTGGAAACGACCAGCCCTCAGTTCGTGCAACGGTTGGAGTTGTTCTTTCAGCTTCGGGACAGGAGGAGGCAGAACAGTCTTCCGCGAAACGCCCAGACGGGCCTATGGATGCGCCTTGTGGTGCGGCGGAGAGCTGTTCCAAGGAGGAGGGATGGGGCAGGAGGAGGAGAGGGAGGAGGAGGAGGAGGAGGAGGAGGAGAAGGAGCAGAAGGAGCAGAAGGCTCAGGCCCAGACATCCGATGCCTCGTTTTTTTCTCAACACGGGGCTCGCGGGGAGGTCCCGACCCGTTTCTCCGGGCAGGCTCTCCTCCTCCCGCGAGCCGCTTCTGCCCGCCGCGGGGGGGCACGGCGAGGGCCCGCGGAGGCCGAGGCCGGCCCCCATCGTTCCGCGCCGTGGCTGCTGGCCACAATTCCGAGCATGCTTGGGGGCAGCAAAGAGGGGGGTGAGGACTGGGGGGGTGGATATCATGGCGTCTCGACTAGGGGGGGGTGGATATCAGGGGGGTCATGACCGGCCCCTCATTCCGCGTCGCGACTGCTGGCCACAAATCCGAGCATGCTTGGGGGCGGCAAAGAGGGGGTTGAGGACTAGGGGGGGGGGGATGTCATGGCGGGGGCCATGATATTTCCCCATAGTATTTCATTGCGCAAAGAGGGGCGGCAAAGAGGGGGGTGAGGACTAGGGGGGTGGGTGGGTATCATGGCGGGGGCCATGATATTTCCCGAGATTTCATGGCGCCTCTGCTTGTTTCAACACGTCCCGGGCCCCCCCTTTGGGCCGCGCACATGCCGCCGGCCGTGATTTGCACCCCTCCCCTCTTGGACGCCCCACACTTGGCCGCCCCCGAGACTGTTGGTCACAATCCGAGCATGTTTGGGGGAAGACGGGATACTCATTTCGATCCTTCCGATTCGAGTCGATTCGATTTCGATGGCTTCCGATGCCGATCCGATTCGACCTGGGATTCCGATGTGGGCTCCGATTTCGTATTGGAGGCCTACTCGCCTGCCGTTGTCCGCCGATTCGGCTTCTCCCGATTCGGCTGCCGATTTCCGCCGATCGGATGCAGTTCGATTGCTGATCCGACTTATCGATTCGATTCTGGGCTCTCCTGGCAGTAGCAGCAGCAGCAGCAGCCCACAGTCCGCAGCCCCCCCCCTGAACACATCAGGGAAACGTGCAACTCGAGTTCGCCAGAATTCGGGTTTGCCGACGCCTTTTGACGGACCCGTCTTGAATTTGGCAGTCCAGTTTTCGCGGGATGTTTGCAGCGGGAGTTCGCGCCACATCTCAGACCAGGTCTCGCCATTTTCTTGACGGCCCCGTCAGGCCAATCCAGCTCTTGTCTTGTTTTGCCCTCCTTATCCCTTCTCTTCCTTCTCCTCTTACGTATTTCCTTCCTCCCCCCTCATACCTCATCCCGCCCGTTTCCTTGGCATCGCTGGGACGCGCGACCGATTCTCGGTTGGGGCCACTGATGAGCATCCCGGATCACCGTGCGAGAATAAGCGCACGAGACCGAAAACATGCATGGGGAATGGACGTGCGATCGAGGGCGTGTTCCTTGGGGTCCTGCTCCACCTGCTGCTGCTGCTGCTGCTGCTCCTCCTCTTTTTCCTCCTCCTCCTCGACCCTCCTCCTCGTCCTCCCTCCCCTCGTCATCCTCCTGCGCTCCCCCTCGCCGTACATCCTGCAGGATGCCGCAAGCAGCGGGCGCATCTCGAGTCCCTGCGAGGAGGGCAGAGGAATGAGGAGGAGGGGGAGGCGGAGGGAGGGGTGGGAGGCGGAGGGATGAGGAGGAGGAGGAGGAGGAGGAGGAGGAGGACGAGGAGGACGAGGATGATGATGAGTAGGAGGAGGAGGAGGAGGGCGACGAGGAGGAGGAGGAGGAGGAGGAGGAGGAGGAGGAGGAGGAGGAGGAGTGGAGGAAGGAGGGGGGGGCGGGGGAGAGGAGGAAGGAGGAGAGGAGTAGGAGTCGGAGGAGGAGGGGGAGGCTTAGGAGAGGGAGGATGAGGAGGAGGAGGGAGAGAGGAGAGAGGGGGGGAGGCGGAGGGAGGAGGGGAGAGGAGGAGGAGAGGGGAGGAGGAGGAGGAGGAGCAGAGAGGAGGAGGAGGGGAGGAGGAGGAGGGAGGAGGAGGAGGAGGAGGAGGAGGAGGAGGGGAGACGCGGCGGCGTCAGAGGCGTGAAGAGGCGGAGGAGGCCAATTCGAGCGAGTCTCATGCGTGTCTCCCTCTGCAAAAGGCCCTGCGCGAGGCGCAGCAGTCCGCGCCCCGCCCGCACGACCCCGCTGGGTCGCTCGGCGGCGCCACGCCGGCTCTGCCTGCGGAGGCGATGGGGCGTCGGAAGCAACGTCGGGGGGGGCGCAGGCTCAGGGGGGGGGGATATTCAGAGAGGGATGAAGGACCGATACCGCGATGCCGATACCCTCGCCTCGTTTTCGCTTTTCAGGGGCCTCTCGGGAGGCCCTCTTCGCCACCGTGAATCGACTGGAAATTCGGGTCAGAACGCACCCTGGGAGAGGTCTGTGGAGTAGCAGTATGGGTACCTCTCAGTCTGCCCGGACATGGGGCTTGAGGCGAGGTTCCAGATATTCGGACGTTTTCGTCGGCTCCCAGAAGTTTGCTAGCCTCGGGGTACGTTCCAGCAGCTGCGCCTCGCCGAAGGCGTTCCTGGGATGTCCAGATCGTCCCGAGCGGCCGCTGCAGAGCTGAGTTATGACCCGAGAACGAGGGGGCAACGACAGGGTGGAGATAGGCTCAGGGGGATGCATCGACCCCGGACTGCCCATTGATCGCCGATGGGAGCCCGACAGCCCGACAACCCGCCAAAGAAGTGTGGATTTGTTGTCGGGGTTTATCGCCGATCTATCGGCGATGTGTTGGCGCTTCCAGGCAGATGCTTCCCCGCCTAAGTCTGTCCCCCGCAGAGGTCCCCTCTCAATATGCCCACTGGCAAATGCCGTAATACCACTATCGTGTTTGCGTTGTCTTGTGCAGTGCTGTGGGGTCAGACGTCAGTCCTGTGTTATCGGAGCATTGTTCTCGTTATCGGACCGCGATAGACCCGTGGTAGACCCGAGGAGGAGGAGGAGGAAGAAAGGGAGGAAAGGGAGGAAAGGGAGGAAAGGGAGGAAGAGGTGGAGGGAGCAGGAGGAGGAGGAGGAGGAGGAGGAGGAGGAGGAGGAGGAGGAGGAGGAGGAGTGGGAGAGCGCCTGCATAGCCTTCATAGACAATGAGCATGAGGAGAAGGAGCAGCAGCAGCAGCACCACCACCACCACCACCAGCAGTATGTACCAGCAGCAGGAGGAAGGGGGGCAAGGGGTGCTAGAGTAGCAAGAGCAGGTGGAGCAGGAGGAGGAGAAGGAAGCGGAGGAGGAGCAGGAGGGCGGGGCCATTGTCAGCACCCTGCGAAGCGGAGCATTTACTGTGGTTGGTGCGCAACGCAGCAGCAGCAGCAGCAGGAGCCGCTCGAGGCACGCGTGTGCAGAGGCGGCCCGCCCCAAGGCGTTGCAGGAGCGCGGCTGGGCGGAGGCGGCGGAGGCGGCGGAGGCCCGGCTTGCGGCCGCTCAGGCCGCCGGGCCCCCGAGGGAGCGCGGCTGGCCCGAGGTGGAGGCCCTGCCCGCGCCCGCCCGGAGTCGCTTCCGGTCCGACGGCGACGACGACGACGACGACCGACGACGACGACGACGACGACGACCGACGACCGACGACCGACGACGGACGACGACGACGACGACGACGACGACGACGACGACGACGACGACGCCCAGAGTCGATTCCGATCCGACCGATCCGATCCAGTATCGATTTGGGTCCGCCTGGTGCGAGATATTTCGGCGATCCAGATGCGGCCCGATGCATGCACAGCGCTGCTGTGCATCCTGGCGCCACCGATTCGATTCGATGTCGACTCCGTGCCGATGCCGTCCAATTTGGGGGCCACATGCGAACCCTACCCCTACCCCCCACGATTTCTGAGGGGGAGGGTGGGGTTCACTTCGCTCGTTTCCCCCCATCCTTTCCCTCCGTCCTCAGTGGCGTTGCGACCACATGTGTAGCACACGAGTTGTTCGCTGGTTGTTTGCCCCCAGGGGCGGTGCACCTCACTGCTGCACCCGCGTGCGCGGCAAATGCTCATCCAGGTCGTGCGACAGGCTGGGAGTGCTGGAGGTCCCGTTCTGCTGTCCGCTCCCGTCGTCCCACTCCCCCTCTCAAGATCAGGCGCCCAGGCTTCCCAGAGGTCATTCGGCCTTCTGAGCGGCCCTGCGCGGCGTTGGAGGAGGCCCGGGAAGCTTCCCAGAAGCCCGGGGCCCGGAGGCCTCCCCGAGAGAAGGCCTGCCCCCCTCGCCGCGCCGCCGATCGGGGCGTCCACGCGGGGGGGGAGGGATACAGCGCCGGTGGCGGGGGCCATGAATCGGGGGTGGACAGACCTCCTACCCTGACACGTCGATTAAGGAATTGGTCGTTTTCGGTTCGCGAGAGGGCGTCGCGGCCGTTAATTTTGCGGGTCCAGGTCCGTCGGTTTCGGTCCCAGGCCGGTTTCACTAATGGGAGGTCTACTGAAGGGAGGTTTGTCCACCGCCGAATGGAGGCTATCAGGCGAGTTCTTCTCTAGGCTTAAGTCGGGCCCGTCCCCCTACAGGAGGAATTTTTAAAGATAGTTCAAACATAGTTTGGGGACGATCTGCTGTCTATGTTTGAGCAGTTTTGGGGTATGTTTTAGCCTTTTTGGATTTTTTCGCCCAAAATCCCCCTGTAGGGGGACAGGCCCGACAATAACTCTAGGCCTCCTAGATCAGGTCGTAGTAGATGGGGTCGGAGGATCGCGCCGCATCGCCGATGCATCAACGATACATCGGCGATACGGTTCGGTATGGGCCCGATTGTCTCCACGCCAACGCCGCCGATGCATCACCAACACCGCCAGTGCAGGGCCGATGCATCGCCGATGCTGCGAGATCCCTCGACCCCATCTACTCGGACCCCATCCAGGAGGCCTCTGTCTGAGTATGTTCTTAGGGTGGAGGGCTCAGGGTGAAATCCATATGGGCTTCTGCACCTCGGAAATCAATCCGTTCTGTTGCTCGCCTTTTGCAGATTCAAGGCTCGAACATCCATCGAAGCGGATGCAAGCAGATTCAAGCAGATGCACACCCTCTGCCCTCCACCCAAAGGAAATGCTCAGTCCATTTTCGCCCCCAACCCCCGACTGTTCGACGAGAAAGGAAGCCGCAACCCCGCACCCGAAGAACATTCTCAGTCTATTACCACCCCCAAGCCCCGACGATTCGACGAGAAAGGAAGCCGCTCGGGAACGGAGGGGGAGCCCCGCACCCCCAAGGGGGGGCTCCTCGGACGCGCCCCGTCTCGAGGACGCACGCCCCCGCTGTCGTTAAGTCGGGCCTGCCCCTCTGCAGGGGGGATATTCCAAAATAGCCAAAAAATCGCCTGCCTGGGGACGACTTTGGGGCTATCTTGGGGCACGTCTGGAGAATGTTCCGAGTATTTTTAATTTTTCGCCCAGAATCCCCTGCAGAGGGACAGGCCCGACTTGAGACCCTATCGTGTACCCCGGGGTCGGGCCCTTGAGGCGGGGCCCCGTCGAACTGCCGCGCGAAGCCTGGGAGAGGGGTCGACATCTCCCCCGTTGAGAGCTCCCCAGATGTCCCTCAAACGTTGTGGGCACTGCGCCTGTGACGATCGTCTTCGTCTTCCGTGGCGCTCCCTGTGGGGTATAACGAGACGTGCGAGGAGTGTGCCGAAATGGGCGGGGAGGCGCAGGTGGACCCTCCCATTGGGGCCTACGGCGGCCCCCTCCATGGCCCCATCTTCTTTTTCCCCGGCCTGGACCCTCCCCCCTCCCCCTCGCCCGCGCACGTGCCTCGGGCCACGATGGGCGGACACCCCCTCCTTGACGCCCCCCCGTCGGCGCCCCCGCCCGAGGCACCGGGTGCAGAAATCGCGCCCCTCGGCGGGAGGAGAGGGGTCCTGAGGGAAGCGGGCCCCGAGGCTGTTCACGGCTTCTCGCCGAAGGGTCCTGAGGGAAGCGGGCCTTGAGGTCGCTCACGCCGCCTCGCCCAGAACTGTACGCCATCACCACCTCCCTCACCCCCCCTCCCCCTCCCAGGAAAGAGGACAGGAAGAGGCGGGTAGAGGAGGGCGGGGGAGTGGCGGTGGTGGTGAGCATGAGACCCGAGTAAGCCAAAACTCGGGTTTGCCGACAGTTTTTTGAGGAGCGCGTCCTGGATTTTGACGGTCCGGCATTCGTGGGATGTTTGCAGCGGGAGCTCGCGTCAAATTTCAGATCGGGTCTCGTCATTTTCATGGATGGCCCCGTCAGGCCAACCCGAGTCCCCCGAACCCGAGTCTCACGTCTCCCCGAGGTTGGGGCCGGCATTATCGCTCAGACGTGCCCTCCACGAGCCGGGGGGCTGCCTGCAGCGGGCTCGGGACGAGGCGCTGGCCTTGGGGGAAAGCCCCAAGGTCCGGGACCCCCCCAGAGCCCAGGTTCTCCTCGGCACCCGCTCGCGCCATGCCAGGGAGAGGAGCTCGACAGGCGGAGTGCGTCAGGCAGGCCCAGGGTGAAGAGGAATCGCTTCGGGGCGTCCTGGAGCGCTCTCGGAGCGTTCTCCGAGCGCTCTCGGAGCGTTCCGGGGAGCTCCAGCACGGCCGCGGCGTCGGGCACGTCGTTCGGGCCCGCCTGCTCACAGAGGGCCCGGCTTGCTGTCGGCATGAGCTCTGTTGAACTGTTGTTTCGCCTTAGATTGCCGTGGTCGCGTCATCGTCGTCGTCGTCGCATCGTCGTCGCGGTCGCCGTCGCCGTCGCGTCTTCGCTGTATCCCCACCAGATGAGGGAGCCGCGGAGGAACTGCGACGGGTGTTCTGCACCGTTTCGGGCCCTGGGACCCTGACGGATCGCTGAGGCTCGAAAGCACGCTCGTTCCTGCACAACATGGGCATGTTGCTAGGGGCACCTTCGAAACAACATGTTCTCACAATCGTTTTGGAATCTCTCTTGGAAGGCGTCTAAGCGGCCCAACAGAGGTCAGACATAATGACCGAGATGGCTCCTAGACGGCCCAATGTTGCCCCGAGCTGGTCTCGAAGTGGGCTCAAGACGGTCAAACAAATATGGATTCAAACATTGCGATGTCGTTAGGAGCATCCTCAAATAAGTGAGATGGTCTCAAACTCGTCTTGGTCTCGTTTTGGAATTCTTCAAGACGTCCAAACGGATGCCGACGGGACGGCCCATAACCCAAGATGCCTCAAGGTGGTCTCCAAGAGTGCCCAGCACAGTCCAATATTTCTTCCAAGACGGCTCAACAGGACCCAAGAGGCCTGAGGCAGCCCAAGAGGCCCGCCAGACGGCCAAAGATGGCCTCGAGACGGCCCAAGGATTTCCAAATAGGCCCAAGATGGCTCCAAGAGTTTCCCCGAGATGGCCTCAGGAGGCACACATTAGATATATGTTCTATAGCGTCTCTCATCTTCAAGCTCAAGAAGCCGCCGCGATCGCTCCGGCCCAATATACTCCCAAAAGCGTTCCGAGACGACTAGAGGGTCCTACGACGGTCCGAGAGTCTCTTTGGACGGCCCAAAACAAACCCCAGACTCCCCAAGGAAGAGACACTGGTGAGGGGAAGATAGGAGATACGAGTAGGAAGAACGGACAAGCCAGCCACCTTGAGTCCTCACAAGTTGAGTGCGCGTTCAGTCCCTGTACCAAGCAGGTCAAATGGCCTTCGGCCCATCCGGCCATCGTGCTTGGGTTGTGTGTCAGGTTTCTCAGGGATGCTTCCTGAGATCTCTTCGGATGGCTTGGGGGCCTCGGGGGGCAGTGTTCAGGCCTCTTGGGAGCTTTTCGGGGGCTTCTTGGGGGGCCTCTTCGGGCCTCTCGGGGCCTCCTGGGGGCCTCCTGGTGGGGGCTTCTTAGGGCCGAGAGCTCGAAATGTCCGTTCGGGTCCCCCGTCTTAGCCTCCTCTTGCAGTCGTCTTGGGACCTCTTGGGGCGTCTTGGAGGCCTCTTGCGCCGTCTCGGGGCCCCTTTGGGCCACTTGGGGGCCCTCTCGGAGGCCTCTTGGAGTGATCTTTGGGGCCGTCCTGGAGCGTCGGGAAGCCGAGCGAGCGAGAACGCCCAAATCCTTGAATGACCGAAAGGCAATTAGCCATTTTGGCTCAAGCCGTTTCCGCCCGAGCCATCGTGGTTCCGTTGCCCCCTTCCGCAGGGTGCCTTCTGCCCGCCCCCGCCTCGCCCGAGAAACACGCCGAGCCGAGCGATGTCGGCCGGCATCCCCATGGAGCCCCAGCAGGAGCTGATGTACGCGGCGCCTGCGGAGCCTCAGCGCATGAACATTCAGGCCAGCCACATCTGGGGGAGCTGTAGTCCTTACCCCCCTGGGGGACCCATCGATTTCGACACCCATCTCGAGAGATCGTCGAGGCGATGGGTTCCCCCAGGGGGGGTAAGGACCACAGCTCCCCCAGTTATGGCTGGTCGGACATCTCTCCGCAGCTGTTCCAGAAGCTCATGGCGGGGCATCCCGTGACCGAGGACGAGATACACGCGGACGCCGCGGCCATGGGCGGGGGGGCGCCCGTCGTGGAGGCGGCCCAGGAGGCGGTCGGCGCCGCCACCGACGCGGTGACTGGCGCGGTGGGCGACAAGAAGTCCAAGAAGGAGAAGAAGAGCAAGGGTGGGAGCAAGAAGGTCAAGACCAAGTCTGGGAAGAAGAAGGGCTGCTGCTGAGCGCTGGAAGTGAAGAGGAGGAGGAGGAGGAGGAGGAGGAGGAGGAGCAGGAGGGACGGATCGGAGGTGGCGGTAGAAGAGGAGGACGAGGGAGGACTAGGAAGAGGAGGAGGAGGAGGAGGAGGAGGAGGAGGAGGAGGAGGGGGAGGAGGAGAAGGAGGAGGAGGAGGAGGAAGAGGAGGAGGAGGAGGAGGAGGAGGAGAAGGAGGAGGCGAGGGTGCCGAGGACGTGCGGCCCCGCCGTTCGCCTTGTTGGAGGGGGGGCTTTTGATTTATGGCCGCCGCTGCCCGCTGCAGGGTGGCGGCGAGGCCCGAGCAGTCCCCGAGGGCTGCGCGGGCTCCGCGGGCGCTCGGCAGGGTCTCTGGACCTGCCCCCGTCAATGCACCGCCTGCCTCGCGATTCTCCGCGCGACCGTCGAGGCCCGACCGATGCGGGGGAAAGAGCTTGGTATCGCTCGGACGTGTGCACTTTTTCTCGGTGGGGATTCTTAAGGAGCATCCTGGAGCATCCTGCGAAAAAGCCACGCACGACAGCGAACAAAAAACACAGGGAATAGACGTCTGAACGACGGGGAGAGAGAGAGGCCGAGCGGAAAACACCTGCGGCGAGCGAGGGGGGGAAGTGAGAAGGGGCGGGCGCTCTCGGAGGGCTCGCAAGGGGCGCAGGGGGCTCCCTGGGGGGTCGGAGGGCTTCTCGGAAGTCCCGCCGCCTTCTGAGAGGGCCATCTCCTCCTCACTTCCTCCCCTCTCTCGCCGCCGGGGCCAATGATGCTGGCCTCTCGGGGCCCTGGCGGGGGTGCTCCTGCATGTCTCCTTCTCATTTCCTCCCCTCTCATCTCTGAGAAGGCTATCTCCTTCTCATTTCCTCCCCCCTCTCGCCGCCCGGGTCGGTGACGCTGGCCTCTCGGGGCCCTGGCGGGGGTGCTCCTGCATGTCTCCTGGGGCGCCTCGGGCGCTGCTTCGGCCGACTCTGGGGAGGCCACCTCGGGCGTCCGGGAGCGATGCTTCGACGATTCGGGGCCCTCTTGCGACCGTCTTTCAGGAGGGAAAGAAGCACACAGACACAATGAATCGTCGATTCCCCAGAAAATATGGGAAAATATGGGAAGTGGGGGAAAAGACAAAAACCCAGAAAATATAGGAAAATATGGGGACTCCTGTTATTTGTGTGTATTTATTTGTGTGTTTGTGGGCCCCTTCAGTCTTGGGGGCCTCTTGGGGCCCTCTTGGCCCGTCGTGGGGCCCTCCTTCCGGCCCCCCCGAGGAGTCGTGCGGGGAGGCGCGCCGGGCCCCTGGCCGCCGGCCGGGAGCCACGCGAGGAGCCCCCGCGGGGTCTGAGGCTGTGGGGCCCGGGCGCCTCGAAATACAGTGCCGTTTGTTATACATGCTCCGCGTGCGGATCATGTATTAAGAATGCGGGGAGTTCATGCATATACTTATTCATACATTTATCATTCTTAAAGATCATATATATGTATATATATACATATAACGGCGCACCGGGTCCGGGGGCCTGGGGCCGGGATCCCGACCACAAATGTGGGCCCCGGGGGGCCCGGAGGCTCGTCGGACCGCCGGACGCCGTACAAGATCGTTCGCAGGCGGCTTCGGAACGCGCTCCGATGGCTCCAGATGCCTTCCAAGACGCCTGTCATGACACCAAGAAGGTCCCAGAAGCCTCCAAGACGCTCCGAGAGGCACCCCAAGAGAGGCCCAAGAAGCAAAAATCGTGCCATTCCGATGGGACAACGTATATTTTTCGCATGTTCGCCTCTTGGGCTTTCACCGCGTCCAAGACGGCCCAAGAGGCGCCCAAGACGGTCTACGAGGCCTCCGGGAGCGCTCCAAGGCTGCGCACGAGTGTCCCAGGACGGCCCCAAGACGGCCGAAGAGAGCCCCAAGACGAGTTCGAGAGGAGTCCCAGACGGAGAAAGCCAACCTCGAATTCCGAGCTTCCGGCCCAAGAGGCTCCAGGAGGCGCCAAAATGCCGCCAAGAGGCGCCAAAAGGCTCCCAAAAGCACCCCAAGACGTTCCGAGAGGCACCCCAAGAGAGGTCCAAGAAACAAAAATCGTGCCGTTCCTATGGGAAAACGTATATTTTTCGCATGTTCGCATCTTGGCCTTTCACCGCGTCCAAGACGGCCCAAGAGGCCTCCAAGACGGCCTCGGAGGCCTCCGGGAGCGCTCCAAGGCTGCGCACGAGTGGCTCAGGACGGCCCCAAGACGGCCCAAGAGAACCCCAAGACGACTTCGAGAGGGGTCCCAGAAGGAGAAAGCCACTCTCGAATTCCGAGCTTCCGGCCCAACACATCCCAGGAGGCGCCAAAACGCCGCCCAGAGGCGCCAAAAGGCTTCCAAAATCAGCCCAAGACGTTCCGAGAGGCACCCCAAGAGAGGTCCAAGAAGCAAAAATGGTCCCATTCCTATGGGAAAACGTATACTTTTTGCATGGTCGCCTGTTGGGTTTTCACCTCGCCCAACACGTCCGAAGAGGCTCCCAAGACGGCCTAGGTGGCCCCCAAGAGAGTTCCAAGACCGTTCACGAGGCGCCCAGGACGGCAAAATTGGACTTCAAAATGGCCTAAGAGAGCCCCAAGGCGTGCCCGAGAGGGGTCCCAGAGGGAGAAAGCCACTGTAGAATTCCGAGCTTTCGGCCCCAAGAGGCTCCAGGAGGCGCCAAGAGAGCTCCAAGAAGCCCCCACGAGAGACCCAGGACGCCCCAAGAGGCTCCAAAGGCGGCCCAAGAGAGCCCCAAGATGGGCCCGAGAGGGGTTCCACGCAAGTTGATATTGTATCGCAAGTTGTTATTGTAACGCTCGGGAAAGGACGAGGGATGATGAGGAAGACGAGGAGAGGGAGGATGAGGAGTGAGGGATGGAGCTTAGGAAGGAGGAGTGAGGAGGGAGGAGGAGGAGGTGATGATTGAGGAGGGAGGAGGAGGAGGAGGAGGAGAGGGAGGAGGAGGAAGAGGAGGAGAAGGAGAGGGAGGAGGAGGAGGAAGAGGAGGAGCAGGAGAAGGAGGAGGAAGGGTGCTGTGGACGCCGCCGAAGCTTCCCGGGGAGTCCTGTGGACTCAGCTTCGGTCGTGGAAATAACGGTTCGCTCAAATGGTCCCCCAATGTATCCAATTCACCCGGAGGAGGAGCAGCAGGAGAAGGAGGAGGAGGAGGAGGAGGCGGAGGAGGAGGAGGAGGAGCAGGAGGAGGAGAAGGAGGGAGGAGGGAGGAGGGAGGAGAAGGAGGGAGTCTCGCCCTTCTCCTGGGTAGCCGAAGGCCAGACTAACAGATCGCCTTGGGATCCAGGGCCACTCTGGCGTGGCCAGGTTGGAGATTTCTACTTGCTCGCCAGTCTGTTACCTCGCTGGCTCCCCCGCCAGATTGCCAATGTTTGCCCGATAGGGGCCGCCAGATTGGCTTCGACTTCGCGTCCCCAATTTCTTCTCACAACGATTCCTGGGTCTGTGACTCGACAGAACCTAAGCGCGCGCGAAGCGCGCGCGTGGTTCTAGTGTGGATATACGGGTGCTCCTCTTCCTTTTCCTCCTCCTTCTCTTCCTCCTCAGCCGCCACAGCGGCTCAAGAACACCGCGGCTCATTCCACGTCAGACGTGCAAGATTCCGCGACAGTGGCATGGTGGGCTGTTCGCGGGGTCTGCCGAGCCCGTGACTGGGGGGGCGGATGACCACAGATGAGCTGGCTTCTCACTGGGGGTTCCAGCTGTCGCTGGCACTGGGTCACGGCCCTTGGTCATGGCCCCCCACCGAGCAGATGCATTACGACACGAACACGCGCTTACAATCCCATGCGCTTGACAGGATCGACAGAGTTCCATCATATCGGAGCGACTTAACTCCTACGCGTGTCGTCGTAAGGGTGAGGATCTCTACCAAGTATACATATTTGAGCGGAATCCCACCTGCCCTCTTGGCGTCGGTGGTTTAGGGCCTTTCCTCTTCCACCCCTCCCTCTTCCCCTTCGGGGAGGGGTTTATCATTGTTCCCTATTAATAAACACCCCCTCCCCCAGGCGACTGGGGGCCAACCAGGGTCCATGACGACCCCCCCCCCACCATTCCTTGTAAAAAGCCATGCAAGCCACACTCTGCCTCCAAATTTGGAACATGCGCACCAACCCGATGCGCCCCCCCCCCCCCCCCCCCCCCATACCCTGGTCAACCAACACTACATGTCCACTTGCGGCGCGCGGCGGCCGCGGCCTGCGGCGGCGGCGGCGGCGTTGCGGCCGGTTGCGGCGGCTGCTGCGGCTGTCGGCGGCGGCGGGCGGCGGCGGCGGCGGCGGCGGCGCAGCAGAAGGCTGCGGCGTGGCGGCGGCGGCTCCTGCGCCAAAACGGCCGAAGGCTACAAAGCCCCACGGCCCACGAATGCCACAAAGCCACCAAAAGCCCCAGGCCCGCAGCCCTGACAAAACAAAACAATATATAGTCACTTGGCGCGGCGGCGGGCGGAAGCGGTGGCGGCCGCGAGCGCGGCGGTTGCCCTGCTGCGGCGTGCTGCGGCGGCGGCGCGCGGTCGGCGGAGGAGGCGGTGAGCGAATAGTGGCGGCATCGGCTGCGGCGGCGGGTCGCGTTTGGCAGCGGGGGACGGCGGCTGCGGCGGCGGCCGGCGGCGGGCGGCAAGGGCGTGCGGCAGCGGTCGGCGTCGGCGGCCGCAGGCGGCGGCGGCGGCGGCAGAGAGGCGGCGGCGGTGGCGGCGCACCGTATTGCGCCGAAACGACGAAGACCACAAAGGCCACAAAACCACAAAGCCACAGCCACAGGCCCCACACATGCAAACCTTCAAAAAACAAAAACAAATATAATACACTTGGCGGCGGCGGCGGGCGGCGGCGCGGCGGCTGCTGCGGTGCGGCGCGCGGCGGCGTTGCGCGGCTGCGCGGCGGCGGCGGCGGCTCGGCGGCGGCGGCGGCGGGCGGCGGCGGCGGCGGTGGCGGTGGCGGTGCGGCAGCGTCTGCGGCGGCGGCGCGGGGTATGGCATCGGGGCG